ACGATATAGGCGATAGGGGGCTAATTTCCAGGATATACAAAGAACTTCAAAACAACCAAAAAACCAAAACAAACAAGCCACTCAAGAAATGGGCACGGGAAATGGGCAAACATTTCACAAAGGAACAAGTCCAAATGGCAAACAAACATATGAAAAAATGTTCCAGCTCCCTAGCAATAAGGGAAATCCAAATTAAAACATCGATGAGGTACCACCTAACACCAGTAAGATTGGCCCACATAAACAAGAACACCAACGACGCTTGCTGGCGAGGATGCGGGGAAAAGGGAACCCTACTCCACTGCTGGTGGAGCTGCAAATTGGTACAGCCTTTATGGAAATCAGTCTGGAGAACACTCAAACAACTCAAAATCAGCATACCATATGACCCAGCAATAGCACTCCTAGGAATATATCCAAAACACCTGTTTTACGACAAACCAACATGCATCCCTATGTTCATTGCAGCACAATCAGTAATTGCGAAAACATGGAAGCAACCGAAATGCCCATCAGCAGAAGATTGGATAAGAAAGCTTTGGTTCATCTACTCCATGGAATACTACTCAGCTATTAAAAAAAACAAAATGCAGTTCTTTGTGGCTAAATGGGCACAACTGGAAACTATAATGCTAAGGGAAATGAGCGAATCCCAAAAGATTAGATACCACATGTTTGCCTTGATTTAACCTGTAATTTTTTGTTTGGTGGTTTGTTATTTTTTGAACCTGTCATTGATACTGTCTCAACCCAGATGTTTCGAAGAATGGAACTTGCATTATTTTTAACATATTGTTTACCCAATACTATGTCAATTAATTCCATAATGTTGTATAATGATACTGAGGCCTTGTTGGGGCTTTTAACTGACTGGATCTTTACTCTGTAAGACCTATCTTCAGACCATAGAAGGTCTCCCCAAGAGGCCACTGAACTTATCTGGACAATAAGACGCTGAACTTTATGCTAGGCAGGTGTTTGCAAGCAATGAATCTCAACTGAACTTGAACTATGGTTATGCAACAAGGTGGAGGAATCCACCATGGGGGGAGGGGTATGGGAGGGGTGGGGGGGATCCCCAGCGCCTATAAAACTGTACTACATAATATAATGTAAGCAACAATAAAAAAAAAAAATTACATTAGGAATAAGCACATAAACACTCAGCAAACGCGTAGACAGCTACTTATACAACCTTTTTTATTTATGTCAGGATAAATAAATGGAGAAATTATCTTTCATACTATACTTTTTGTGTTTTTCCAAATTTAGTATTTAAATATGCAACTTGGAACAAATGCACAAGGTCATCAAGCCATACACATAGAGTCAATCAATTAGAACAGTTTGCAACATTGCCTTATGCACAAACAAGAAGGTGGCACAAGCACATTAGTCAGCTAGATACAATAAAACTACTTCACAAATCACAGTCAAACACAAGGTTTGTTATTTAAGCAGAATACCAAAGCATGCTAATCCTTCCAGGCTAAAGCAGCTGGAACTCACCTTCGACAAAGGTTTCCCCTCGTGGCAGTTAATACCACCCACGTAGACCATGTTGGGCATCACAGGTTTGGGATAGTCAAACACAAAGTCAGTTCTTATCAGCCAGATTGAGGTGTGGCTGAAGAGGTCATAGAGTGTGACAGGCTCTGGGAAAACTTCAGAAGCAAGTTCTAAAATACTTTTGTAAAAATGGTGGCAAAATAAACGCTCTTGAAAATGAGTGATATGGTTCCAAACTCTCTCCTTGAAGGTCATGACATCTGAGGAGCTTACAAAATTAAGAGGAACATAAGAAAGAGGATTGGGACACTGTGTAGCTTCCCAAAGATAGTGGCAAAATATTAACCTGGTGAACACGACAGATGGCAGCGATAAATATTTGGCCACAATTAAACCACACATATCAAAAGGATCCAGAAACACTGCATCAAAGGAGCTTTCTTTCAAATACTCCACTAATTTCTTGTCATTAAACAAACTCCTACAATGCGAAAAAAAGAGTTCAAACAAATTATATCCTGAACCCCTCCAAAGAGAAAGTATGTTGTCCTCCTGAACATTCCATTGAGTTTTGGCAAAATCCTTCATTGCACGGTCTATGTCTTCCAGGGTGTGAGACGTCTTGTAGCTCTTCACTGTGCAATTCAGGGACTGTCCCAGTTGCCAACTCACCTCTGGCATGACGACAACCAACTCATGCCCTCTCTCAATGAGCTTCTCCACCACCGAGCGCATGGTAAACCAGTGACTGCCATCCATGGGGACCACCAGCAGCTTGCCTGCCTCACCTGAGCCAGAGGCCAGCAGCAGGCATACACACAGGGGAAGGAGACCTGTCTTCATTGCAGAACCGTTTGCTGAGCTGTGGCTCCAGCAACCCAGCTGCTGGGAGACTCAGCTGAGAACTGTGGTTGGCAGAAGAAATACAGACATAAAACCTACCCAAGTAGGGTGTGTTTTCACATAGGCCATATACATAGTCAATCATTGCCTGTGACATATATACACATATATATAGATATAGATATATATACATATATACATCTCAATGATTTACTTGGACAACATGAGAAATGAATGCCATTTACTTGGACATGAGCTTGAATGTTTGCACAAAGGATTAGCATATATTTGCCGCATGGGAAAGGACACACCTTCCTGGCATTATGAGTTAAGCAAGAGATTGTAAGGGATGACTTTATACCTGGAGGACACACACATACAAAAGAAACACAGAGAAAGAGAACTCAACAAACAGTGTAACTGGGAATGGTTGTTTCCTAATCTTCCCATTAAAACAAGCTCAATGTTCTTCAGCATAATGGTCTCTCAGCTATTTTAAAACATTTTATTACAAATTTAGATATAATTTCCAACTATAAACTCTAGGATAATTTCATATAATAGATCACAGAATTATCTTCAAGGTTCACCTTGATACATTACATGAAATAAACACACAAACACACACACACATCCTCATGAGAACACTCTCCACCCACACCTCCTCAACAGAAGACCAAGTTAGAATAGCAAACCATGCTTTCCTGAAAGCCATGGCAAGATTTCTTAGAGGCAGCCTGAACAGCTGCCCAGTCAATGCAGAACACATATTGTCCACATGTCCTGATGAAAATGTACCCCAAAACTTTGCATCAAGTCCCCTCTTTGAGTCTAAATGTTTCCTCAAGATTTTGTTTCTTTTAATCATTATTCATAAATGCATGCAAAGCATCTTTAATATAAAAGGAATTTCATCTATCTATACCAATTGTTGGAAATATAATGGCTTCTACTATGCATTCAAACATATATATATAAAAGAAACTTCTAATCATTCAATGAAAAGACTCATTCTTTTATTTTTCCTTTTGCACGACCATGCTTAGGTGCCCTTGTGTGTAACCAACATATTGAAAACTCTGAATGATTCAGTGGCTCACAGGCTATACATTTCGTTAAGGGGTGTGTACTTGTAACCACCGCCCATGAACCAATGCGCCTCCCTGAACTCTGCCAGTTCAGAAAGTAGCCGGGCCCCACCCTGGACAAAGAGCAGACCTGCACGCAACACCTGGGTAGCACATGCTGTTGATCAATACAGAGCAAAGGGGAGAGACGCCCTAGGAACAGGCTCAGTCTCTGGCACTACTACCACTTGCCCTCATGGCTGCTCTTGCCAAGAGAGCCAACTCATTCACTGCCTTCACAAGCCGAAGACAGCAATCTCACTACATTTTAAGCAAAACAACTTTCACACTCCCATCAATTGGCCAAAACTCACTTAGACAAACCTCTGCCAACATCTGAAAGAAGATCTCATCTCTGCCAGCTTCCCTGAGCAAGCTGTGGCACTAACTGCCACCTTCAGGGAAAGAACAAGGTCATTTCTTAAGGTCACCAGCACCACACACCCAGGACATGACAAGAGAAATTCTGCTATTCCCCATTCGTGCCCTGAGTGGGTGGGTCAAAATCAAGCCCAGGACCTCCAAGCTCTGTTGCTTCTGGAACTCCTCCTGCACTCAGTTGCCAGAGCAGCCCTTCCCTCCCAAGCAGACACCTGCCTCTGGTGTTTCTGAGTCAGGTTCCTCTGGAGCAAGCTCATCTCAAACATACCACCAGGGACCCTCTAGCAGAAATACGTGTCAGAGTTGCAGAGTGGAGGAACCCCACCATCGCAAACACCTCTTCCCCAATGGGCTGAGCAGGAATCTCCCTACACTCCCAGCTTTTCTGCCACATGAGGCAGGGGTTCTGTCCTTCACGTTAATGAGGTGCTTTCTGCAAGGGTGTGGAACCTGTTTTCTGCCAGGGTTACTTGGATGTTTATTACTCTTTGCATGGCATCAACAATTGTGCAAAAGTTCCCGAACTTCTTTACACTGTGATAAATGTGTTGGATATTATGACTGTAGAGCTCAGGCTCTGCCTACTGGTAGAAAAATGCAAGTACATGCAAGATTCTGAGCACAACTGTGCACAAAAGAAAGACAGAACAATGTTTTGGACAATTTTGCATGTATCAGGAAAAAGGAGCTAGGTGAATAGATATCATTAATGATTCCTTGAAGACATCCTGTTGTCTATAAGACCATACCAAATGTGTATGTTGTGTAGATATGACTGCCCATGATTAGTAGGCAAGTACAAATTGCAAATGAAAATTAGATTGATTAGATCTATTCTGATATCAAACGTTGTTTTAATGAGACAGATGTGGAAATTCATGTCACATATATACGTATAAAATATAAACACATGAACAAGAGTACTAATAGAATTTTCAAAGGTGTCTGGGTAACCCACATAAAATTGTATGTCACAGTGTGTTTCATAATATATTTTCTAAAACCAGCACTTTTTAAATGCTGGTTGAATATTCATACTGTGAGATGAAGTGCGACACATACCTCTCAGTGAGAAAGCTTTACAATGTTTAATGCTCCAAATAAGAAATCCACACTGTACATTTTTTCAAACTGGAACAATTAAATTAAAGCATTAATAAAAAAAACCAATACTCCCTCCAGGCTAAAGGAGCTAGAACTCACCTTCGACAAAGGTTTCCCCCTGTGGCAGTTAATACCACCCACGTAGACCATGTTGGGCATCACAGGTTTGGGATAGTCAAACACAAAGTCAGTTCTTATCAGCCAGATTGAGGTGTGGCTGAAGAGGTCATAGAGCGTGACAGGCTCTGGGAAAACTTCAGAAGCAAGTTCTAAAATACTTTTGAAAAAATGGTGGCAAAATAAACGCTCTTGAAAATGAGTGATATGATTCCAAACTCTCTCCTTGAAGGTCATGACATCTGTGAATCTTAACAGACCTCTAGGAACATAAGAAAGAGAATAGGGACACTGCGTAGCTTCTTCAAGATAGTGGCAAAATACTCCCCTGGTGAACACGACAGATGGCAGTGATAAATATTTGGCCACTATTAAGCCACACGTATCAAAAGGATCCAGAAACACTGCATCAAAAGAAGTTTCTTTCAAATATTCCACTAACTTCTTGTCATTAAACAAACTCCTACAATGCGAAAAAATGAGTTCAAATAAATTGTACAATGGACCCTTCTTAACGTTAAATAAGTTGTCCTCTCGAACTTTCCATTGATATCTGGCAAAATCCTCGAACACACGGTCCATATCTTCCAGGGTGTGAGACGTCCTGTAGCTCTTCACTGTACAATTCAGAGACTGTCCCAGTTGCCAACTCACCTCTGGCATGACAACAACCAACTCATGCCCTCTCTCAATGAGCTTCTCCACCACCGAGCGCATGGTAAACCAGTGACTGCCATCCATGGGGACCACCAGCAGCTTGCCTGCCTCACCTGAGCCAGAGGCCAGCAGCAGGCACACACACAGAGGAAGGAGACCTGTCTTCATTGCAGTGGACATTATTGGCTGTAGCCTGAGCAACACCGTTAATTGGACTCTGAGCTGTGTACTAAAGGTGGAAGGAATAAACAAAAAATCCACCCACAGAAAGGGCGTGTTTTCACATAGTCCAGGAAAAAAAAAATGACACAGCCAATGATTTTCTCCAAAGAACAGTGAGAAATGAAGAGTATTTGCTAAAATAAGTGCCTGAATTCTTCACAGGCAAGATTATATAACAATCGCTCCATTAAGCAATGGCATACAAGATCTGCACTCAGAGTGTAAGCACTGGTTTTTATACCTTGAGAATACATACACACATACACATGAAAAGCAGATGGTACTTAACAAACCTGCACATTGGAAATCTGGTCAAACATACAATTCACTTTTTGTCCTTGACTATATAGGTGGTTTGTTTATAAAGAAATTGAGATCCAAGGGCAAATTGCAAGATCTGGAGCTTGGCAATTTCAATCAGTGTAGATACACTGCCCACAAGCATCACTGTTGATACACTGGTACTCTACTTATTCATTTCCAGGAGTGTTTTTCACCATTTCCAGACTTCCATATCTACAATCCAATTAGATTCTCAAGCACTGAGTGCTTGAGTGGAGAAGGAAACTAGACTTCATTATTCTTCCTGCAAAAGAAAATGTAATGAGAAAAACAGAACTGAACCTGAGAGATGGAAACAGGTGTGCTGCACAGAGGAAACCAAATGTGAGCAGTGAAGCTCTCCTTTGATCAGATAACACTGACTACGAAAAACCACTCAACAAAAATAGTAAGGACATTGCATAATGATGGCAATGTCAATTCAGTGAAGAGGATAAAATGATGAAAAAGAATAATCCTATACTCCCAACAAGACAGCACTTATCTACATCAACTGGGAATTGAAGCATCTGAAACCAGACACACATTGCAATACAGGAATACCAGAAGGCTAGAATACACCACATCAACCGAAAAGACAGCTACACACTGGACAAAATGGAGCTAACAGACACACACACACACACACACACACACACACACACACACACACACACACACACATACACACACATCAAAAACTGTCCAGCAGCAATAGAGCATATGTTCCCATCAAGTATACACAGGAAGTCCAAGACCAATGCCTGACAGAGCACAAAACAAGCACACATGGCATGTCCAGGAACATTGCCATGACAGGACACAAAGCAAGTGAACGTGGCATGTCCAGCACCGATTCCTGATAGGGCACAAAGCACACAAACATGGCATGTCCAGGACTGATGCCATGACAGAGCACAAAACAAGTGAACATGGCATATCCAGGAACATTGCCATGATAGGACACAAAGCAAGAACACACAGCATATCCAGGAACGATGCCTGAAGGGAGCAAAGCCAGTGAACACCGCAGGTCCAAAACCTATGCCATAACAGGGAACAAAGCAAGCGAACATGGCATGCCCAGAACCAATGTCATGACTGGGCACACAGCAAAGCTCTGGGCCACTGAAGAAGGTTGGCATTGTCCACGTCTTCTCAGGACACAAAGACATGAAACCTGCAGTCATGAACAGAGGACTTGTGCAGAGCTGTACAGCCCTAACCTCACCCCATCCAGCTGCACCTGACATCGCCAGCACCCTCAAGCAGGGAACATCAGCTCCTCATCCCACAAACAAGTGCAGTGTTCTCCAGGATGGTGATCCCTCACTGATGTCCTGATGTCAAGTTTTCATCACAGACTTGGATGTAATTCCCACATGGAAACACAACAATATTTTCTCACAGGAGATCTCAGTCAAACCTCCATGTAGGGTTTGACATACTACATCTAACACACACATATATACAAACTCACATCACTGGGGAAACATTACCCAACAACAACTCCATCTCAACAGATAGATGAAATTCTCATCACAACCTCAGTTCTCCAGCTCGACATGGCACGCTATCCAAAACAGCCCGCACACCGGCCCAGACAAGGAAAAACACACCTGTCCACACACCTCCTGATGAAACCTTCATTTGTGCAAAGGATGTAATCCAGGCCTTCTCATCAAAGGCCCTTCTTTGACATCTGAATTTCTCCTTCAGAATTTTATTTCTTGGTTTGGGCCTTGGGGCCGGGGGCAACTGAAGCTCCCTGAAGTGTGGTGGATGTGAGGGGTGCCCCTGCTGGACCGGACCCAAAGCTAGGAACTAAACCCAAAGCCACTGCCAGAAGGCAGGGACCGGGTCCTTGGCTTTGGGCAGCCAGTGCACCAAGTGGTGCCAGGCTCTGCCTAATGGCTGCCCAGTGGCGAACTCTGGGATGTTTGGGATAATAAATTGCTGCCTAGGGACACCCATGAATAAGGCCAGTTTTAGTGTAGGTGAGAGATGAATTCTGGGTGATTTCCAGTAACAGGGTCATGAAACTTTTGGGCAAGTGTGGAAACTGGGACCTGATGGTTTGGAGGGAAGTGTCCATAGATCTATTTGGGCCAGACTGATTCACCAGCCAAATTAGGAATCCTGAGATGGGCTATTAGCATAAAGCATCATTGACTGCCACACACCAGTCCACTCAAAAGCTATAGATGGGGACCTGTTTGGCAGGGCTAGGTACCATTACCTGACTGGGTGGTGGAATAGTGGACTGGTCACATTTGGCAAGGTCAGGACACTAACCAGCACACGTTGAGAACCTGGTCCGAGGGTAAATTGTGGGGGAAGAGTAGACCCAACCCTGTGGAAATACAAGTCCCACAGGTTAGCTTGCGAGCTGGGGTGGCGATGGACTAAGCTAGGAGTGACCATGGCACCTGCCATCACTTATGGGTAAAGGAACCGATGGCAATCTGGGCAGGTCAAGGCAGCACCACCCAAAGGTGCATCCTAAAATAGGATGTGGAGTGGGCCAAGCTGCAACTTGAAGGGGATGCACTGGGCAGGGCCAAGCAAGTCTCAACTCACAAAAAAAAAAAAAACAAACAAACAAAAAACAAAACAAACAAACAAAAAAACCAGAAATCAGGATGCAGCACATGTCATTCCGATCTAGGCTCTTACACCAACTGGTCTGTATGAGGCAGAGATACTATGCCACAGCATTGAAGGCAAAGGCTGAGACAGGTGAGGGGCTAAGCCAACTGGGTCAGAGCAACCATTGGCACCTGCATAATCTAGGACTGGGAATAGACTCGGCTGGGGAGCTGTGAGAGTACACTCTTGCTGGGTTGGGATTCCCACAGGAGGGTGTGGGGGCTGGAGTGGGGGTTACATTCTTGTCTGGATATGGCTGCAATCTCCCTTGGCACAATTGTGGACTGGGGCTGGGTGCACCAAGCTGGGCTAGACACCAGCACCATCTAGTGCTTCGGGGAACCTGGGTAGATGTAGGACGGACTAGGCTGGGTCTCTCTCTAACCCTACTGAGACATGTATGAGCAAAACGTCCAACACCAAGAACTGGAACGGATTGAAGGCCAACAATGAGGGCTGGCCCATGAAACCACCAGTACGTGCAAGATCTGGCATAGGGAGAGGTTCTTAAGGAGGAGCTTGCGAAACTCCTCTGTCAGAACACAGTCCCTACAGGTGAGCACAGCAACCACGACAGGGAGCAACCCAGACCAGGCCATAGGAAGATACTCACCATTATACTTATGGAATAGGTGGGGGGCAGACCTGGCTGAACCCATTCACATCACCCACTGGTGAATCTGAGCACCAGAATACAGTGTGGGTCAGGCCAGGTTCAGTCGCAACACACACCAATGCATGTTACGGAATGCCAAGGTGAGGTGAGCCATACCAAATGTGGTTACAGTGCCAAAGCAGCACACATGAGAATTGGGGGGGTGGGGGGAGGAAGCAAAGCCAGCAGGAGAATGTGGGCTCCCCTGCTGGACAGCCACTCCCACTGGAGAGCATGATTTGGGATGGGGGTAGACCAGACCAGGCAGGGGTACAACACCTATGGGCGTCATAGGACCTAGATTAGGGAGGGACCAGGTTGGGCTAACAGTTTCAACTGGTGCAAGGAAAAATCAGTGTGGGTGAGGGATGGTTGGGCTTTGCTGCAGCATCAGATGGCAGAGGCTGGCACGGGGGGCTAATTCTGTCAAGCTAAACCACAGAACCACCTGAAGAGTGCATAATCTTGGAGTGGGAGTGACCTAATAGGGAAATAGTGGGCACCTCCCTCTTGGGTTACCACTCCCACTGGAGAGCACAAACACTGGGACAGGGGGCAGGGGTGGCTAGACAGAAAGGTGCCTGCCAGTAAGTGAGTGGGTTGGATAGTAGGTTGGTTGGATTGAACTAGGCTTCAATACCCACTGACATGTACGATAGCTAAATGGGTTGTGGAACAGACTGAACAAGCCTGTGGTACATACTGGCATGCATGGGAACCAGGGTAGGGGGCAGGTCTAGTGGGGGTTATGGGAAGTCGCCGCAAATAAGCTGCAGCTCCCATGGTTTGCGGGAGTACAAAATATGAAGTGGGTAGGATCGAGCTGGACTACTACACCCATTGATTGGTACATGTGGAAGACAGGGCTGGAAACAGAACTGACCCAGCAGTTGCAATGACCAGCATATGCATAATCTGGGGGGAGAGACTGAGCAGGACCTTGGACTGGCAAACTCACAAGAATCAGGTCTGGGATCACCTCAGATGAAGTTTCTCAGGGGATCCCTCTAACTGAGCTGCTGGTCTCAGAACCCCAACCATGAAGAAACTTTATCAGCCAGTGGATTGTGAATTGGTTTCATCGCGATTGGAACGGCGACATTGGCAGCAATTCAGAACTGTTGAACTATCAAAACTGCTTGAGCAGGACCCTCGGAGAGTGCCTCACATCAGGGACATGAGATGGGTGAGAGGCTGGGTGAGGCTTTTCTGTTTGTTTCTCCCCAGCCTCCAGATGCAGGAAAAATGATGATATTACTGTAGAAAAAATGGCATTACCAACTTTTCTATAGCCCTTGATGATCTGTACCCTAATCCACTAAGTAAGATTACT